TATTTTAGTTTGGGCTGATATTTCGTGGCCATTGATGTTTATTCTGATATTGTCGATTTCATTGCATGCGCTGCTACGAAGAAATTAAAACATAAATAATTTTTAAAAATCAATCTCTCTCTGGTTTGGTTGGCACAGACAAAACATAAGGGACGACAGGAGATACCAGACAGACTACAAGCCCAGTGTGTTTGTTTGTGTGTGCGCCAGTGCGTACGTGCGCGCAGGCCCACACAGGGACCTCTGACGTGACAATGCAGTGGTCAGTAGCTGCCCTCCTACTGGTCATCGCCTCAGCCTCACTGGCAGTGCCCACAGATGACCCGGCCAGGTCCACCTTCTACAAACCTACAGGTAGGACGGACATTTTGTGTAGGGGTTGTTGGGTTGTTGGGTTGTTTGCTTTTTATATGTTTGTGGGGTATTCTTTTTTTAAGGGGGGGGGGGGTGTTAAATTGGTGTTTGTTATAGTTTTTTAAAAACGCTGTTCAACCACATGATCATCATCATCATCATCATCATCATCATCATCATCATCATCATCATCATCATCATCACCACCACTACCACTCATCACCATCATCATCATCACCACCACTACCACTCATCACCATTACCATCATCATCACCATCATCATCATCATCATCATCATCATCATCATCATCATCATCATCATCAATCTCAAGAGCCAGATCTAAATGTAAAACACACATCGGCGATCATGGTTCGCCATTCATTTCTTTGCTCAGATGCTCTCATAAAAAAGGCAATAAGATCATAGCCAACACTACCACCCTGATTTCCCCCCGTCACCCATCTCTTTAGGCTCTCAGAATACGCTGCTCTGGGTCTACCCTTGCCTCCTTCGCCTTCCAATTTTGCCAGTGAGAGCTAGATGTTCAAGGTCTTTATGTTTGTTTAAGTGACCCAAGAACTGCCTTTGATATGTCTTTTCCAACTTCTTAACTGTTTCAATTTGTGAGTGGCCCATGTGGACCTTTTTTTAAAAGAAGTATTTCTTAAATACCAGCCCTGATACCGTAATACTGCCCTTTCTGAGCAGACCAACAATGATACGGCTGTAAGATTATTTACAGTATGTTTCTTGGGAAACGGAACATGTTTCTGGGGAGAGGGTGGGGGTGGGGGTGGGG